CTGTCAAGAAGCTTCAAAAGGTGCGCTGTACTATATCCTGCGTATTCGAAACGGAGAAACGGTCTGATCAACTACGTGTCAGTCAAGTGCGTAGAGTGCTTGTGCCTTGCTTATGAGATCCCGGGTTAGATCTTGAGTTAGATCGATGTATTCGCACTGCTGATGAGACATAACCAAGTCGAAACAGCTATCCAGTGCTTCATCAGTTTGCAGTTCACACTTTACTTGCTCGATATTCACCACTTGATCCTTTGTAGTCGCCCATAAAATATGGTTCATATATAACATGTATTTGACATAGCTGAAAAATAGTGAGTGACCTAAACAGAATTTTACGCACTACTGCTGAACGTCATCACCACTGCTGACAATAACGGGACGGGGATAGTCATTTATAACGAATAACGGTCAAGTTATCGATGAATTGGTGTACATACATACAATAAAACATTTCTTTCAGAACGGGTCGCAGTAATTCCTACAGGCAGCATAACTGTCTGACGGTCGGAACATGTTTTCTGTACTTACGATTTTGAACACAATGATTCGCTCTAGGTCTTTCTTTTTGTCCTTTGTCAGAACCCATCAATCGCATCCTTTTGCGCACTCCAGCCATGTTATTCACAAAGAAGAGTAGCACCTCACAACACTGTGATTCGTCCTTCTCCAATTTAGATCCTATCACTGTGTCCCATCTTACCTCTTTCATTAGTCACAACCTCCTTTAAAGTTTAACAGCAGCATTGTATATTTCAGAAATAAAACGGTAATCAATTCTATTCTGGCATACGGAAAAGTCGGCGATCGTTGATTGTAGTTTTTTAATCTGATCAAATTGTCACTCCCGATGCACTACACGCTAATGTGAACTCACCCAATCTCGTATGTTGCTGTATGCAAAATCGACGAACATCATTGTCGTTTTTGTTGTCTTTGACGGGCACAAAGAAGATAAGACATCGTTTTTTAATCGGTCTCGATCAGAGAAACATTAGTAGTGGTCAACAAATCGTCATTTGGCTTCCCGGAAATCGGACCGATTTTGACATTGGAGCATTACGCAGAATCGGTTCAAGAAAGCGTCCACGGACTCATTCATAGAAAATGTTAAATAAGCCATAAATACACCACCATTCGATACCTGCTCCGATTTCAGCATTAGTCGTGCTATGTTAACCAACCTGAAGGATCACTGGTTTTTCACGATAGCTCCATATGTGGTATGTTTCAGGTAGACTGCTTCGGATTTGTAATTCGCTGTCACGCGCTGATGTGTTTCTTAGTGGCATTCTAGTGCCAGTTGTTTTGCGAACAAATGATCACAGGTTTCCGCCAGCCTTGCATCTGTATGGAGTTTGAAAAAGGGGGATCAAACGAAGGATGAAACAGGTTTGGAAAACAGCTTACAACATAATCTGCAGCAGTCTTCTCGTTTAAATAAAAGAAACATCCATGATCACTGAGATTCCAGTTTTCAGTTGTTGTATACTGCAGATCGAAAAGATTCCACTCTTGGAAGGTAGGGTGCTGGTGTGTGTGTGTGTGTGTGCATGGAGTTAGTTCTTTGCCATTCCATTCCATTGAAACACAAAGGAATTTTGTGTTTTCACCACCCAAACAATACGAACCGTTCGATCGTTAATGCTCCTATACGACCAACCGTCTCAAACAGATTCTGCTGAGGAAGCCCTATTCACTGCCTCCCCCTGGTGGAGGTGTTTTCCCACCAAAGTAACAGGACAAAAAGCTAACATCCGGGGCTATCACTGACAATTCACCTAGGGGAATTGGCTAAATACCCTGAACTAAGAATAGGCGTATTTACCACGCACACACCTTTCCATTTGTGGCGGTTATCACCGACTTGATTTGGCATCAAGATGTACTGGGCACCTTGTACATGTGACCCCGTCCCAAGAGTGTATGGTTCAATGAACTGGACACCGGTCCCCAATAGATTGTGGTTTTCACACACCACTCCCCTGCCTTGCGGATCAGGCTTTAGCTAGTCGAAGGTTCCGGTTTTAAATTTCCCAGGAAAATTCATCTGCCCTGACTTGGGCACTGTGGCAGTTTTCCGCCCGCATACAAATCATGGAACGTTTCTCCTTTAATAAACTTGATTGTACCGTGATTTGCTCGCCACACAGTCTGGCCTCAAACGTGTGCGAACTAGATTACAGCTCATGATTTTTTCTGTATTACAATCCTTAGTAAAGTACAACACAATCTACCAATTTATTTTACTCTCTAGTTTCTACCATGTGAGGGACTTACACGGGATGCACACCTCAGCACGCACGTCATAATGCCCATTTCGTCCTGTTGTGTGTGTGCATGCAAGAGAGAGGGGACCAAACTAAAGTGATAATCTGTTCTTGTAACAAAATATTGTTACATTCTCTGCGCAAAAACATGCTGTGTTACCGCAATTCATTTCTAATCGTAACATAGTCTTTTTGGCGAATCTGCGCAACTTCAAGCAACAATGTCTTTCTGAGTGCTTGTATTCCCGCATTTCCGCCAGATGCTAACCTCTCATCTTTCATGTTGAAATCGTATTGTATTCTGATACACACAGTAAAAAGAAATTTTGCCTCATTTACGAGTAAAGCGAACTTGCACAAGACCGTAGTGTTTCGTATACAAAAACTTTAGAAATGTTTAACTCTTAGTAAACCTATAGGATAATTACAACGCATGTTCCCGAGTCCTCATGGAACAAACGTAAAGCAATAGAACGATTCCAAGTTTGGAACGGTGCATTCCAAAGTAAATCTTTTGCTTTAACCATTGCCTCTGTGAACCAGGATCTAAACGAGGGGTGACACTCAGTGCAAAATGGTGTATTGTGAGATCCTTATTAGGGTCATATTCAGAGTATCATTCAATAATGTTCATCGATCTATCAGCCTTACTGCGAAAAGGAAACAAACGACCGCATTCCGTTTCTAGATGTCTTTATCCACTTAAACCCAGGCGGATCTATCCGCTGGCACGTCTACAGGAAAGCAACGTAGGGAGGATAATACATTAATTTCAATAATTTCGCATCAATTAAACAGAAAAGAAATTTGAAGCACTGCACGACAAAAAAGGCACAGCAAATCTGCTCCCCAGATACCGTAATTGAAGAAATGAAGTAAATACGGAGTATTTTACGGGAGAATTGCCATCTAGATCGTTTCCTAGACATGCCTGATAGAAACTGCGGAATAACTATAAGTGTTTGGAGTAAGTAAAACACCCCTGTACCTGAAATTACCGTACAGGGACGACAAGACGCCAGACTGAGTGACACGAATGGCAAGCCAGACGATGAGGAGAACATTCACTTCGGCAAATCAGTTTCTCTACATCACCTACAATTCGTTAACATTCTCAAAGACAGAATTTTCCCTCATTTCATTTACCAGCGCACATACTTGTTTACTTTCTCTTGTGGAGTGAGCCATATACAGTACTGGCTGATTGTGATACACTAAAATATTTTCTTTATGATAAAATGGAATTTCATTATATTTATCACCTGTATGATACTTTAGGTTTGGACAATAATTTATATCTTGTCTATTTCGATCTACGTAGTTTCTAGGCTGCATGAGTGTCAATTAAACGTGCCTGACCTTGAGTGCCAAGATTAAATCATCTGAACATGAAAACCACAAACTTTATCAAGAATGACAACGCAATATTTTCTATTACGAATGACTTAAGAATTATCCTAAATTATTTCCATAAACCCTTGCCATTTCGCTTATTTGTAATGAGGCATTATTTTATCTAATATATAATCCAATACAGCAACTCTATTGGATAGCCAACTGAAATTCTTTCACAACCCAGAGAAATTGCATACATAAGGTTTCATAATAATAATCTATGTTTGATATCTAACCCACTGAATTCGAGAAATACCACTTCAATCAAAGTCAACCATGAAATCAAGGTCATTTTTGTTCACAGCTTTGAATGTTCGTATTTGTTGTGACCATAATGAAGCAAGCAGCGCTCGAAACCAAAATTTCCCGTTATCTCAGTGAAGAGGACAGAAATAGAATCACACGAGGATACAATATGAAATGTTGCCCAATACTTCAACGGTAACAAAAGCACAATTTACAAGATAATCCGTGGGAAAACAACAGAAAAGCTTGTGATGGCCGTAAACCGAGTACATCCAAACAGGAGGATGACCTGATTCATATTACTCTGAAAAAACATTGCAGAAAATCCTTGTCGTCTATCTAACGGGAAGATCTTCCTCGCCCTTCTGCAAAGAAGAATGAAAAAAATTTAAGATGCGTCAGGTTAGGTCGTATAACGAGACAACTATCAAAGAGAATAAAAGAACACCACACTCGTTGGTTGGCTCGCAGAGAAGTGAGGACAGCGAAAAGCGTGATATGCCAACACCTGCTCAAAAGTAATCACCAAGTGAACGTGAGTCGGGCGTTAAAATCCGTTTACCGTGTTTCACTGTTATCTTCTAACTTACTGCGTTATATTCTGCTATGTAAATCTGAAGCAATCTCAACCAGACTGCTTGACCCCCCACTATGCAATCGGAAGCGTTTTGTCCGTGCATTATCTCTACCATGGCCAATCACCAAGCAACAAACTGATTGGAGCGTGGCAACTGGAAGAACGTCATAAACAAGGGGTAGCTCAATCAAAATACTGACGCATTTAAGATTGTTCTTTTATATGGTGTATTAGGATCCACGTCGCGCTGTATTAAATAAAATTAAATGCTCTACCTATATAAATGTAAACGGCTAGTTGTTGAACTTCTCGAAAACAGCTATATTGATAGTCTTTTTCTTAGATTTTTTAATTTGCATTTCGAATTTTCTTTGTTACTTCTCATCCAATTTGCAGTTACCAACTTTTGATGATACTTCCATATTCCAATGATGGATTGAGCAATCTCATCCAACATTTACAACAACCGGGGATATTTTCCACCATATTGGCGGCGGAATTCAGGCACGAAGTGCTTTCTGTCTATGTGCCCCAGTTCACCCAAGGTTATCGAACCCATCCGGATTTGAATCCCATTCTATTCGGGCTTGGTTTGACCTCATTGTTTGATCGTACAAAGTCCAATTTAACGGGGATGGTAGACGATATGGAATTGGCGTTGTCCCACATATTCCACAAAGCTGTTCTTGAAGTGAGTGTGTGATTTCTCCCGGAATCCGACGATAATCATCACCTTGGATTGCGTGTGTAGTTTCTTCACAAAAATCGTGCACTGATGTATAACATTTTGAAAGTTTGTTGAATTGACGGTCAGTATTTTTTCCATAGAATTCCTTCCAACTTGCGTAGCCGGAATTTCGGTTGCAAGTGTCAACACTGGGCGAACGGTCTATCGTAAGCTTATCCAATTTATTTTTTGTTTTCAATCTCCACAGATCGGGGATTTGGGTGTGACTAATCAGGCTGTGATTGCTAGCACTCGAAATCAAGCGATTCGGGAGTTTCGTGCGGACCATCCGTTTTTCCTCTGCTTACTCTACGATCATCATTTGCCCATAGTGGTCGGGCATGTGGTCAAACCACGTCGTTATCGTGGACCAGTGTACGTGAACGGGAAATAGTTCACAATCGTTCTGCTTGTTTTAGTTTCTCCGGTGAAAAGTGCACTTTCTCAAAGTATATGCTTGTAAAAATAAAGTCCCCCGTTGTACGCCTATGTGCCAATCCTGAACTGGGCTGAATTTGTGAACGAATTGCTTCTGTGCTCATTCATTTGTCAAAGAAAATAAATATGGTCATTTAATATGGTATTGTTCAGGTATATGAGTCATAATTATTGTCTCCTCACTTGCAACAGTGTGTGTATGTGCACAGGAAAATACCCTGGAAAATGAAACAGCACGATGCTGTGTCGGTTACATATCACGTGACAGACAACAGACGATAATGACATGAGACGAGCTACAGCTTAGTCTGAGAGTGGGACTGCACACGCACGCACACACAGACCAGAAATATGCCGCGAATCAAAAGCCTTTTGCAACTTCTGCGAGGANAAAGCATTACATTTTTAGATGTATCATTTCAGATAGTTTCGTCAATCCAAAATAGTTCTTTTCCGGGTTCATGCTTCGATATCGTTTTTACATCACTTTCCTTACCGAGGCGAGTTCTAATCGAAACTCATTTTCATGCTCACATGTTTATTGATCGAAAAGATACAAGATGTTCAGTGATAAAACATTCGATTATGTCATCCATGCAAGTCAAAAGGGATATATATTGTTGACTTCGAGATGGACATGTGTAACTAAAGTGGTTATCAATTGAACTCATTACATCAGTTTCCAATCCGATTATGCAATACTACTAGAAGTATTCATAAATAGGTTTTGGAAACGATTATCTGTCGTATGAAATTTGATTATTTCTACGCGAAAAACTTCAACCTTGTTGGAACGGAATGTTGCTATTTGTGAGCGGAATCACCGTGCAAACTGCTTACTAAACTGATCCAAAATGGGCGGTAATCTAGTTGCAATTGGAAAATATGGTACACTGGAGAGATTGGTTACGATACGTTATCGCTCACCGTGTCGTAGAAATAATTTTCAAGACCTCAGGTTAATTATATAATGAAATTCGTGCGAAAGGGAGCATACGAGACAGTAGCTGAATATATGAGAAGAACCGTGCAAGTACGTTGATACACCGTTTCATCTTCCAGTCATCGACCCGGAGTCAACTCCAGTGTCAACCATTGATGGTCAACACGCACCGTCAGTGGTCACCTCGACACGGCTTTCACGTTTTCAAGATGCAGGCATTATCATTGATCACACGTTGACAATAAATGGATCACGAGAGTCGAAATGCTTGGGATTGAAAAACTCAGCGAAAACAACTCTATCAATTCTACTGTGTGGGGACAAAGGCTTATGGGATCAGGACCACAAATGAATTTCTCAAAGCTGTGTAGCCAGTCTAATGAACAAATTTAAGTATAAGACTATGTGGGACGGCCAGCCTCCTGAAACTTCGTGCATTAAAGATAGTCTTTGATTATTTGCAAAAGCGCTAATGATATGAACAGACCATGACAACTTATAGGTGACAGCGACAGCGAGGTATTTCACAAATTCCGATTTTCGGAGGCTTTGATTAGCAACTATAAGGTCAGGGAGATCAGTTACTAATGCAAGACCGCGGGGACCGATTCTCAGACTAAAGAGACCATAAATAGACTTGGCGGTGTTAAGTACAAGAGGTTGGGGCATGGACGAGTTGAGAAGTTCAATAAGACCCTCGAGGAGAGACCAAAAACCGTCTGGACTAGGAGTGGGCAGTCAGTAACAATATCATCAGTATACCTGCAGTTTACTCAAAGTACAGAGCTTCTGTATACACAGAGCGGAATGGGGGAAAAATAGCTCCCTGAAACACACCAGAGTCCATGTTTGTGGAAGATGACTGCGTGCCATTAAATGAAGTGAACTGGGTTCTATGGGAAAGTAGTCGAGTAAAACATTCAAAATTTCAGTTATCAGACGACACAAAGACGTTCAATAGGCAATCTTGAGTGGAGAGAACCAAAGGCGTTGACCTAATCAAGAAAAGTCAAAAGAGCGCCACATGCACCTTTGCAAAAGATGGATACCCATTCGGGTTACAGTATCTATTGTGGATAGACGACATTTGCAATGGATCGTGAGAGTTACATAAGGGTATCATGAGGTGCGGCAAAAAACAATTTCAAAAGTTTTTAGCGAAAGAGATGACCAGACTAGCGGACAGTATTTTTCCGTTTGATAATTGGAACATCGACGTGGCGGTATTATACCAATTCAGGTTAACGGAAAGGGAACACTAGTACGTGAGAAGCGCCGACTAATAAGCATCACATGATCTGATCCGTCGTTTCCAGAAGTGTGTGCTAACCACAACCGCGATTAAAAAAAAATGGAGTCCGGAGATTTCGGTTAGTGAGTTCTTTTACGACGGCAGTTTTTCGCACATGTTCACCACGGAAAGTGGTGTTCGTCAAGGATTTTCTTTCTCTCTGCGTTCCGAAATGGGTCGTCAACTATTGCCGCTCTAGGGATGATAACAGGACCAGGAGTATGCGGGGAATCGAAGTGTGGAAAAGAAATCAAGACCAGCATCTCATGCGCAAACTGTATACGATCCTTTCATCCCTCGTGTGCTAAACTATCGGCAAAACGGGTAAAACTATTGGTCTGACAAACACTATTTTTGGTTCTGTGGGGAATGCTCCAAGCTGCCCATTATCAAATGCATAACAGATATCACAGAGATTAAAAAACCTATTAGCAGCCGTCGAGGACAAGGCAAAAGTACAAATTGCTTCCTTCGAAGAGAAGATAAAGACCCTCAGTTGCCAGATCACTCCCGAAAACCCAAACCCAAGGTTGCCAAAACGTCCGAGAAAAGCTGTTAACAAAACAAATCAAGAGGTAGCGCGCATCACTTCTCCAATATCCACGAGGAAATAAACGGTCGAAGTCTCGGTACCTGTAGTCAAAGTACCGTCACCTAAACGTCAGTCGCAAGCTGCTGTACCGTCACAGATAAACAAGAGAAGGGGTGGCAACACTGCACTCACGGTAATTTATACAAATCTCCCAGAACCCACAGGTCAATCATTGAGAGAAAGACAACAAGACTAGCTGAGTCGCTGGGCAGAGGTATAAGCCCGAATGAGTGTAGAAGCCAAGCCGGTGAGCTTCACACGTCTCTGGCGCTAATCGACATCACCGCATATCGGAGAACCCAGGTTACTTCGTGGCCAGCGAAGAACACGTTGAAAATGTTCTTCTTTCTAGTTTTCTCATGGCAAATGTGTCCAGCAATTCCAGAATTTTACCGGGAAAACCTTGGATCGAGCGTGTACGTCGACGAAACGATCTTGAGAGTGCACGCGATGCAGACAACTCGTGGGTGATTTTCATACGCAGAGTGCCACAGCTCCCCGAATTCGATGAATCCAACTGTCGAAAAAATGACTTGTGCGAATGGCACTTCATTCAAGAATTGATAGAGTATCGCACCGTCTCTTCCATGTCCGTTAAAACGCCTTCCGCGTTCTCTCAACTATCGCGGAGATGGCCCGCAAATACTAAAAGTCACTCTTGGGACACCAGAGGTGGTAAACACAGTCATGGTATGAACACATAACCAGAGGGCCCAAAGAAGTAAGCGTAAGACCGATGCTGAATTCAGGACCGAAAAATCGTCCACCAGTCGAAACTGTCAATCACGTTGAACGCGAAACACTGAAAACTTCATGCTCCACTCCGACCCCATCAAACCAAATCCACCAAACACCTACGGCAACGCAAGGTGGGGGCGTGTTGCTCTATTATCATAACAGCTTGCAATGCGAGCAAATTGAGTGCCCGTTCGCTGCCTCAGATACGTTATGGTGTAACTTGAAGCTAGCGCAACATGATATCGGGCTGATCGGTTTAGTTCATCGCCCTCCTTCGTCAGCATATTCATCAAATGAGACTTTGTTGCAAACAATATCTTATTTCTCGTCATTGAATTTCATCCACGTTCTTATTATGGGTGACTTCAACTGTCTAAAGCTGAGCAATATGACGCCCTCATGTATTCCGTTTGAACGACGATTCATGCAGTTTATCCAGTCACATCCGTTGTACAATCATGTGAAGAAACCCACCAGGTTTGGAGCCAACCAAATTTCGTCAATTTTTGATTTAGTATTGACAAATGAAGAATTGGTATGTCACTTGTGAATCAACATACAAACTTCAAACCTGACAAACAAAAATTTAAAAAGTGAAGAATTGATGGTCGAATCAATTGCAGTCGTAACTTCGTTGAGGCACAGTGATCACGCTGTATTGTTGTTCGAATAGGATTACTATGAAGCAGGAGTAACAGCTTTTTCGGATCACTTTTGCAGCATACCCGACTATGCAGGAGTAAACACCCTGGCGCATGGAATCCAGTGGATCTCCCCTGATTTAGGCTACAACCCCCTGGAATCCTGGAGAAAATTTACTAAAATTGGTGGCTGCCGTTACAACCGTCAAGCGTCTATGCCAACCGACTGTTCGAAAATCAGCAATCGGCAGTCCAAGTAGGAAATGGATAGTGCAAAGGGACTTTCACTGGAGGTAGTTCAAACGTTGTCCATGCCCCAGCACTTGGGAAGCTTACAGGCTCCTTCGAAACCACTGTACAAATTTGCTGCGGGAAGAGAAGCACAATTATCATGATATGCTGGCGAGGAAGTTTATCGCAAACCCTAAGCCATTATATAGGCATATAAACGCTTCCCGGAAAGTCAAACACGGCGTTCCGATACTAAACTCAGTAGGACGTGTTTCAGCGACAACCGAAGAAGCTGCAGAAATGCTTAGACTGTAGTGCTCTCAAGTGGTCAATGCGCTTAGTAACACTGGGTTCCTACTTCCCCGTTTACAGGAACATATTCCTTACTCATTACTGACAGACATTATCTTTTCTCCCGAAAGGATAAAGGCAAAGCTCCTGGTTTTGATGAAGAACTCATCACCGGGTTTAGATAACATTCATCCACAAGCCCTTATCACCCTGGCGAGTCACATGCAAA